TTTTTGCGTTTTTGATTGCGTTTTAATACGGTACGTCAACAGAATGTACACTAAGAAGGAATTTTTCGATATTCCCCCGCGGGGGAGAAGGACAGAATTCAGGCTTACCGTGAAGAACTTGGCTTCTATTATATTATTGTAGATGCGGGTTTTTGCGTTTTTGATTGCGTTTTAATAAAGTACGCCAAGAGAATGTACACTAAGAAGAAATTTTTCGAAAAATTTCCCCTCCTCGGGGGAAGTGTTATACATTTATAATAAATACATTTTGAGCACAACAACGCGTGGCGGGGTCTGCTAGTAACTTATAAACTGTCATTTTTTACCTATTCATTTCGTATGAGGATGCTCCAGATTTTAACCAAGTAAACGAATTTTTATAATAAAACTATCACGAGTAATGCAGATGACATATTATTATTTCGAAGGAATTTATGGATTAAACGGAATTTTATATTTCAGTTTATATATTTTTATTTATTTATTCTTTTGTAAAATTTAACTTGTGTGATAATGTAACACAAGTTTCTAATCGTTTCAGATAAATATTTATAAAGATTCAATTGCAAGAAATAACATAAACTGTTCCAATTGTTGGAGTAATTCCGGTTATAACAGTGAAATTGGTAAGAGACTTAATGCTTTTAACATTATAAATATATATTTCTAGTGATTAAAAGAATAGTTAAAACATAAATATAGATAAACTTATATAAGTTTTAAGTTGATAATATTTCCTAAAATTTGTAAATATTTTATATACGGTGTACTGTACATGAAATAAGTATTTTAATATTATCAATATTTGTGCTTCATAGAGTTAAGGCAATCAGTTTAAACATGTCCAAGTGGAACGACCCGTTTGTCGACCCACTGCTGTCTGGGAGTCGAAACAGCCGCCATAGTATGACAGTCCTAACAAAGACAGGTAAGTAAACTCAGTGTTTTTGTTCTCGTTGTAGCAGTAAAAAACGGGTGCACAATCAAAGTTAATAAAAGAAAGTCATCACCAACTTACATCATAGTTTGTAGCTACGAAACCAACGTGATATACGATGAATATTGTTTCTAGAACTCACGTCATTTCCATCACTCGAGTGTCTGGCAAACACCGTTGTTACATCGTCAGATCTTTTACTTAGATCTTCAGTTATTTTGTTAATCCATCTCTTCCTGGGTCTACTCTAGGTCTTCTTCCCTCCATTAGGGGCATTGTTGCTATTAAATTTCGAAGATTTAAGGTCGACGGGGTGGAGAGTTAATTGGAGTCATATGGTAGCTCCATTTTAGGGTGGATTCACTCATGTGGCGCGGCAACGCAAACGCATTTTCGCCGCGCGACTGCAACAACCTCACAAGCGACAACCTAATGGCATTTCAGCGCATGCGTACAGTATTCAAGATGGAGAACGATACCGACACATTATCCACGTGTTTACAAAGTTTTGTACGGCTCGTTTTATTTAACTAGATTTTGTCGAAGATTTTAGATTAGACATATTTTCTTGGATCGAGAAAGAAGTGATGTACAAAATACGTTTATTCTTCAATCAAGATTTGTCGATAAAGAATGCTATTTCGACTATGATTCGTTTGTTTTTTACTTTGAATTAAATTATATGTGATTATTTGTGTAGAATTTGTCTTAAATTTATTATCCTTTCTTCTTTATTCTAATATCACCCATCTCAGTTAACCGCATCGTTCTTTCTGCCATTAAAACACCACGTGATTTTATTTTCTCAACGACTACCAGACGAACGGTTATTGACTGATAGAAACACGTCATTACTTGTCATTAGAATTTTTTAAGTTTTTATAAAACTCGCCCCTTAAGGTTTTTCATTTTATAATATTTAAAAATATAAAATATTTGAAAAATAAAATAATGTAACAGATGGCGCTAGCATAATTTCAAACGTTGCCGAGAAAGTTGCGTGACTGGTTGCTAGTTTATCCTTCTATCGAATTTCCGTTTCGAATGGTGAGAGAGAGTTCACATAATAACTTAAATATAATACACCTTTATTCTTTTCACAATTATTTTATAAATCGGAGATATTTCTCTTCGTCTTCCAATTTTTTCCTTTTTTTTTTCTATATGCGTCGGAGGTTTAGGAATTTTAGTGACTACTCTGTCTTTCTTTACACAGCCAACAAGTTTTACACGGCAAACTCCAGGGAACTGCCGTGTGTGAGGGTGACCTCATTTTTAAGCGCAGAACTTCTCCAATTAGAACTGTCGAAACAAGATTTCTACTCGACTGTTTGGGCAACGCCCCCTTGTTGGTGGCTAGTAAATCTAGGGGACGAAAAATAGCAAGTGGGCGACAGGGAGCATAGGGAGTAGAGTATTAGACGGTGACCGTAGCCAAAGGTTGGGGTGACCGAGAATCTTTTTCTTCACTTTCTTAAAATGGGTGTGAAGGAACATTGCGTTTAGTGATTTTTAGATTTGGAGAAAAGTGTACTGTAAGGACACAGTTTGAATTTCATAGAAAAGTTTTTCTTAAAAATATTTCCAAGTCTTTCTTACACAAGGAAAAATGGATTACAGAGTGTTGGTGTACAGTACATTAACAGAAAAGGAAGTTTTACCTCCAATTTCGTATGTTCTACAAAAATACGGGAAAATATCGAATAAATATAACAAACTTAGTGTTGTTTCGCACAAAGAATAATCAAATCTATATTTATTTTTAGTTTTTAGTAGTTTTATTTATTTATTTTATAAATTTGTTTTTTTTAAATTGTCTTTTAATTTTAATTATAAAAGAATTAACATTGAACTATCAGGCTACCTAGTCAGGAACAAATCTACATAGAGACTAATAGGACTCAAGCCTTGGGCCACAAGTGTCAAAAGGGAACAAAAAGTGAATTATTATCATAAATTTTAATACGTTTTTATTAATATTTCATAAATAAATAAATTTCAACTCTGATGTATATGTTATTAAAAATGAATTTTATACCTCAATTTAAAATTCTTGACGATTAACCATATAACACGTGATATTATAGCTGCAAATATCACGTGTGCTGGTGACGTTATCACTGGAAAGACTTCCGTTGACCTTGAGAGTGCATCCCTTGTTTACTGTTACAACGGGAACAGTAGTAATGAGTTTACTCGTCTTTCTTTGTTACTTGCTGTAAATTTCGAATGAACATTTATCAATTAATTAATTCTTTAATTGAATACAGATTGTTGACATACGAGAATATCGCAAATCGAGAAAATGAAGATAAAACAAGAGTTAGAAATGAAACATTCGGACTGTACGACTGAACACAACGAAGAAAAATTTGAAGTTGATTTAAAGAATTTCAAGAAAGAATTTAGTACTGATGTGAAGTGTTATAAAACAATTAAATCGGAACCTTTAGAGGTGAGAGAAAAATACTTTTCTATAATATTATAAATTTGACGTTTTGACCACGGTGTTCGTTTTAAAAAGGATAACCTTTTTTTTTCACTGACGGAATTTTGTGGACGTACTGTCTTTAAAAATTTTACGTGTATTGTTAATGTTACTCGTATATTGTTCTGTATTTATTACAGCTGACTGGCAATTACCTGTTCCTATTGTATGAAGTCACGTTTTTCACAATTATACGTTTTACTTTCTTGGTATATCTTCATAACTAGGAAAAGTAACTCAATCCTGTCAGATTTGACCCTCCTACATTATTGCAATTCTCCACGTTTTGAAGCTTCCTGAACCCAAGAAAGTAAAAATAAACCAAACTGATTTTGTGTGTGTGTGTGTGTGTGTGTGTGTCTTGACATCTATTTCGCTTAATGTATCAAGACGGGGTGAAGATAAAGGAACGACATTCTGCATTGTAGGTTTCATATAAGGGGTATTGATACTATAAAAGTTTGGTTGTGAAAAATCAAGAGGATGAAGAGATAGAGGGTGGTCACCAGCAGTGGCACGTGGTGACGTTTGATGATAGGGAAGCTGTGCCGGATAGAATTATTGGAAGCGTTATACGATATTTTGGAGTCCAGCTCAACCACGTGAACATGCGCGGATGCCTTTAATCTGTCTGCTTTACGCCGTTCAAATACGTTCTCCGTGGAAGTTGTATTCGACCATACGGCGCTTCCATTGGGAATAGGAATATAGGAATTTATATTAGATTCTTGTCATTGTTTTTAACATGTAGGCTAGTATTATAAATTTGTAATAAGATACATAATGCGGTTATAATAAAATATTAATTTTAATTAATTCAAAGTACGTTAAAATATGAAAATAATCGCACAATATGTATTTATATTTTAGAAAATACAAGGAAAGCGGCCTCTTCGCAGCTTCCATAGACTGCTCGCCACTGGTCACGTGTCATATCTCGGGAGGGGTTAGACTTAATGATGATTTTATTTGTTATCATTTACAATGTTTTATAAACTAATCCTAAAAATTAAGTTATTTGCTATTTTATAATAATTAAAAATACGTAAGTTTTTTTTTAACAAAATCTTTTAACACATGCCATAAATACAGTTTTATATAGTTATTATGCTTAATAATTAAAAAGTGGTTTTGAAAATAAAATTTCATAATAGCCAAGAAAGTAATGCAACTGCTTGCTAGATTTTTTATTATACTAGATTTTTATTACGCATTATTCAGAGAATTTTTTTAGGTCGATTGGTAGTAATTGACATTCCTTCATTTCATACTTAAGTCGACGTAATATTTTGAACGTACCTAATTTTGTATCTATAAATTTATATTTCAGGTATGTATTTAAGCTGTATAAAGTTAAAATGTGTTCGAAACTTTTAAATTCCGTCAGGCTCTAAGCAGCAGTAGAAATCGACTTGAGATTTCTTCCATTTCCGATTAAATCCTTTGGAGATTGACGATGATCGAAGGATTGATTATCATAAAATAAGCAACCTGAAATTATTTGTCATCGAAAAAATCCAGCAACGAAATTCTATTCTAATTTCAAAATAAAAAAGACAATCAACGAGAACATATTTATTATGAAATGGTCACAATGCCAGGCTGCAATTTTTCATTATATATAGGCCTACATTTTTTTTTATTTAATTTAGAATATATATGCACTTCACTTGAAATTAGTAGTGGCTTGCCCGTGTACATTATACTTTTCCTGTTAGTAATAGAGTCGTGACGTTTACGTATTTAACTTCTTTCACGGGAAACTTTATGAATGTAAATAACGTCATTTCCGATTTTCATCGGAAGTTCTTGTATCGGGGCCTCGTGCCTCTAAGTTTTCTACGTCTGGTCTCGACTTTCACCTATTTATCTCTGTTGTCGAAATTCTGAAAAGACAGTCAATCAGTTGTACAGACTAAATAAAGTGGGAATTTATAAGTCTATTTTCAAATTGCAGTCCGATTCTTAAAAAACTATTATTTACATATTGATATAGTATCAGATTTATTTAATTGGGCAGGAGGTTCCGATAAAATGTATACGTATATCTGCTGAAAACCTGAAGTCACGTTGTTTGAATTCGAAATTTTCGTTTGAAAGGTATTAAATAGATGACAGGCACTACTATTTGAAAGAAAGTAGTTAGTAGGCCATATTTTAAAAACATTATTCAGTAAGCGTATTTTTATGATCCAGTTTAAATAATTTTTTGATTTGTTTTTCTATAAAGATCAATCTTTCAAATAATATAACGTAAACTTTTCTTATTTCAGATAAATATTAAAAGAGAACCAATTTCCACACACAACACAAACGGATCTTCTATTTGGAGTCATTCTGGTTATAAAATCGAAAGAGGTAAGAAGTTTAATATTTTTTAATACTATGGAAGTATATTCCTACTGATAAGAATAATAGGTAATACATAAATTAATATTCATATAAATCGAAATGACAACATTTGAAATACGTTGCGAATACATCATGTATTGTGAATAAGTATTTAAATAGAATTTAATATAATCAAAAACATTTAATTTAGTTGACAGATTTAAAATTATCAATTCGGTTAATCAGAATCTTACAACAGAGAAAAGTCGAATTTAGATGTTTTAGATTTCAATGGAAAGAGCAATAATTTATTATGACATCGCCACAACACCAGAGTGCAAATTTTAATCATATTTTTAATGTATTTAATTTAAAATATATGCTTTTCATTTTAAATTAGTAGTGGCTTGCTTCTGTCCGTTATACTTTTCCTTTAATAATAGAGTTTGCCCGTCATTCATTAACTCTTTTCAAGAGTTTTCTACTTTCGATTTTTACGAAAAGTTCGTACACAGTTAATCGGTGTTTCGTCCCTCTAATCTTTTCATATTATCTGATCTCTGCTTTCATCTTCGTCCGTTCTCGACATTAAGAAATGACACACGGACAGGCGACAATGAGAATTTATAGGTCTACAATTTTTCAAATTACGGATCAATTATATGATTAAATTCATATTTTTTAAAATAAATACTGAAATAGTCTGTTGGTATTTATTTTATTGTTTTTATCGATATATGTCTGTGATATTTTGAAAACAGTTGGTTTTCCATTAATTGGTACTCAGACTGGGATGTGTTGTTACTTTTCACAGGTTTTAAGTTTTTAAAGTAGTAATTTTATGTATCTATAAATAAAACTCATCTCTACTTTCAAAATTCCTGTATTATAAAAATGGTCTTATGCCATTTTTATAATACAGTAATTAATAATATAAACCGATAGTAACATTTTTGCTGATAAAGTTCCGTAACTCGTTGCCGGATATTGTTTCTTTTTAAATAAAAGCCAAAATAATTATGTGCAATACCATATCATTGCATTTTTTTCTGGCTTATCAGAGCCGGTACCACAGTGAAAGTAAATTACCCATCGTTAGCAAACTCAAAACATATCTAAATATCACTCATGGTAGCTGTTATTACGTGTTATGAATGTATGTCTTTTTAATCCGAAAATTAAGTTCGGTAGACTGTCATTACAGCTTTCACGTTAGACACTTCTTTTATTGTTTTCACATATGCATTTCCGGCTTATATAAATGCTAAGCCCCTCTTCAGTGCAATAGGTGTAATATGGTTCTGTCTTGTAAAACCACAGTGTATAACGGGTAACATTGGAAAGATTTTTTAAAACCGCCATTAAAAACTTAGAGTGGCTTAGCATTTATGTAAGCCTGAAATGCATATGTGAAAACAATAAAAGAAGTGTATAACCTGAAAGCTGTAATGATAGTCTACCGAACTTGATTTTCGAATTAAAGAGACATACATTCATATCAAAACATATCACTCATTAGCTCTATCCAAGTTATTTGTTTAACTTAGTTATTAAGTTCTTGCGCATATAAATTTATTTAAGATTGAAGCAAAGCATCCAGGAACAACTTATAATTTGATAAGAACTGTATTATTCAAGCAATAAATTTTATCTGTTTACCTATGAACTCAGCAATATGTGCTTCTGAGGACTGTTGGAATGCCATGAAGACAGGATATTTCTTGGCTAAAAGTGTACATGAAAATAAACCCCTGTACACTTAGTTTATTCTTACACATTATCTGCGTTGAAAGAAGTTATTATTACATACACATTCAAGTTTAGATATGATACGAAGTGTGAAGGAGTGACACGCAGATACGTAACGTACAGTACATCGTACATATGTAAGAATTTTCGACATAAAGTTATCAACGTCGACAAATAGAATTTTGTAAGGTATTATATATTTTTTACTAATGGAAGGTCAGAACGTTCAGAAATGGGAAAACGCAGGAATATCGAACTTTGATTGATTAACATAACTTCTTTGTCAGTATGTGTGGACCTCTTCAACCTTTTTAAAAGTTGAATAATTACTGTACTTTTTGTCGAAAATTTCTGAAAATTAGAAGGAAGGTTCGTTTATTAAGGTGACTGTTGCTTTTAAGTTTTTGTGATTAAAGGTTCAAGGACTGAAGAGATAATGCAGGTCGTATATATCATCAGTAGGGCCGGACTATGAGTGAACTCGTCACTAAACGAGTTCACTCATTTTCTCATTTACAATTTTCTATAAAATTAATCTTTATGAAAGACAAGTTTTCTTTTTATTTTATAAAAATAGTTTAAAATATTAAAAAGGATTTAAGCAAAATATCGTAAGATGGCGACACACGTAGTTTTAAATGTTTCCTCAAAAGTTAAGCACGCAATTGGTGGTTTATTTAATAACGAAAAAAAGTTTCCAATCATATTTATTATAATTTGTATCACGCATCACACCAATTCGCCGTGACTCATAACTAGTTTTCGGCTTATAATCAGAAATAAATGATGTAGTGAAACATCTAATTTAATATTGTTACGTTAATTAATGAAAATATGCTCAGCTTTATTTTATATTTCAAGTTTTTCATAGAATACTTTAACACAAAATTACGTAAATTCCACTACAGATATCAAGACAGAAGAAGTAGAAAAGAATTATGATGTAAAACATGGTATAAAATCAGAATGTAAAGTTGTTTTGAAAAAATTGAAGATTGAAGTAAAGACTGAAGATTGTAAAGAAGTTGTTTATCTTCCAGATAATAATGAACAGCTAATGGTAAGTAATACGAATTTCGAAATATTTTACAGTGAAATTTTAATATTAACTAAGCTTACTGAATGGTTGAAAATGTAGCTGAATACCACTAATATAAAATTATGCTTTGAATGAAAGTGTATTCTATATTAAATAAAAAATATATTATATAAGAAAAACTTTAACAACGAGCTGCGTAAGTTTTCTGTCTGTTAAGAGATTTTATTTAAAAAGTATTTATATTATTATCAGTAATAAATAAATAAAAATTTTCTGTGGCGCCATATGTTATAAAATCTCTCTATAATTTTAATTATTATAGAATGAAGAAATGCTTAATTTTAATGGTAGAAATTCATTTCACAAAGCATTATAGGCCTAAATGCTAACCGCAAATACAATCTTCATTAAGTCTGATCCCATTCGAGATTTTACACGTGACCATTTTTTATCTCTTCATCTCTCGACGTTTCTTTATCAAAATTTAATAGCGTTAATGCTCCTTATACACAATGTACGGTATTAAATTTTGTTTCTTATTCTTCAATTTATTCTGAAATATTAAATGAAATAGATGCCAAAATACATGCCCACACACAGATATTCACGGAATTTATTGCCGTGTTTTTGGGGGTAGAATCTGAAAATTTGCAAAAAATCAGGGGGGTGAAAATTGACCAGATTTCAATACTTTATCTTGTTATGTATACATAATATCTGAGAAAGTAAAAAGCGAATTTCAACATTAAATTTATATATGTAAATTATAGTGTTTCAAACTTTTCTCAGTTGGTTAGTTTGAGTATTTCTGTTTTTATGTGCATGATAAATTAGAGAATAAACAACGAGTTTTTATTTCAGACCCATCGATTGGTTGGTCATATCCACAATAGATGCGGTCACAAGGTGAGGAAAATTACTCGACATACAGTCGGACCTAAGATTTACGAGGTCCTTCGCAAAATTTACTTTGTGACCCTTTGAAACAACGATAGTACAAAATACCAGATTTATTTATTTATCTAAGACTATGGAGACATTAATTAGATAAACACACATTATAACAAATTAATAAACACAGCAATTTATATTTTTAACCAGTTGTAAAACTGGTAAAAAATATATATAAATTGCAGTGTTTATTAATTTGCAAAGTTTTCATCGCTAAATCGTGAATGTCAAACGTTGAGCGCAGCCATCTTGTAATCGTAGAAGTTTGACAATGGCGTTTGGAACGTCTAACGTGGAGTAAAAGTTCGGCTGAATCGTTTGCGTTTTTGTTCCGTTTTAGGTTAAATTTTTGGCGTATTTTATTAAAATAATGATTATTTAAGCATTTGCGAATAACATTAAAAAGAAACACGAGTTAAATCCAGAAGTTATTTAATTATTTAATTTTCTTGCAAGTGATGTAAAGTGTCTGTAGAATTTTTATATATTTGTGTTCATAACTACTTATCATAATACTGTAGAAATAGGTTTGTTCTTCTACGTCACTTTATGTTATCAATCAGCATAATACGTTTGCAAAATTCTAAAAATAATTTTCAAGCTATTTTCGGATTTATATAAGCCACAACTACCCTTAAGAAACTTATGTCGTGAAAACAGACAAAACACATTGTAATTTCCCTACTGTTACTTTCTACTGTAAGAGATACAACGCTAATTAAAGTAAAAAATAATTGTTTAGTGTTATTAAACATTCTCTAAATATTTTTAAATAGTTTACTCGTTCATTTACGTTCGATGATAACTATCGTCCTTCTTAAAATTTTTTGCCAATTTTTAACAATATCACATGATATGTGATGTTACCTTGGCGCAACGTTTTTTGCTTGGAGTTCAAACGCCAAACGTGTACTTCTGCTTGCCGTACAAGTTTAAAGTTTGAACCTCGGCTGCAACCTCTCTAATGTAATAAAATGAGTTTTACAACGAATTGTGAAATTCAATAGGTGTAAAAATTTTTCCTTACAGAACGACTCTTTTTGGCTATCACAGGGCTAAATTACTTTACATAGATCTGTAGCAAAATCAGCCTGCTTTATTGGTAATATCTTTTTCAATGGATAAGTTGGAAAGAGTCTCTCTTGTTATTTTGTTAATTTCCCCAAAAGGCTAAATAATTTTTACTAAATTTTCAAAACATAATTAATTTTAATGCAATTTTGTAATATGTAGAGTATATATGAAATCACAAAATAGCAGATTTGTAATTTATAAATGTGTAGTGATTTTCATATTACTTTTTCCGCTGTTATATGTAAGAGACGAAAAGTATGGCGATCGGTCAAAAAATCATATTCCCGGAATATTTCAACATTTTTGAACTTAGGACACCTTCAAACGTCGAAAAATGCAAAAATTCGTGGGTTTCATCTGTATGTATGGATGTTAGTGTGTGGAGGCGCACCCCTGTTTGAAACATAATAACTCGTGTTCAATTTGTCGAAAATTTCTGAAATTTTGCAGGAGCGTTTGATTATAAGGGAAATTCAGACTATTAAATTTTTCTGCTTAAAAATCAAGAGATAATGGGAGTTATGTGTGTCTTCAGTAGGGGCGTACTTAATGATGATTTTACTCGTTATTCGCATATAACTTTTTTATATATAACCCATTTCTACTTTTAAAATTCAGTTGTTTGCTTTTCTATAATGGTTAAAAATATCATATTGTCTTTAGAAAACGTTTTATTACAGAAAGCGCCACCAAAATTTTAAAATGTTGCCGGGAAAGTTGAGCAACTCGTTTCTGGTTTATACACTGAATGGCCAAAAAATTGGAGACATCCTTTATTAACGGGTTGATCCACCTTTAGCTCTAATCACAGCCAATATTTTTTTTTCGACACGGATTCAACAAGTTGCTGATACAGTTGCTGAGGAATGTTGATTCATGCTGACATAATGACAGCTCTAAATTGGGTCAAATTGGATGGTGCCGTTTACAAGCTTTGAAATGATCCTACGAATTTGTCCCACAAATATTCCATAGGATTGAGGTCAATGTACTGACTGAGCTTGCCATGAGAGCAGGTTAAACTCTGATTAATGTTCCTCAAATCAATTTGAGATTGATCGAGCACGGTGGCAAGGTGCATTGTCCTGCTGAAAGTGATCATCTCCATCAGGAAATATTATAGCCATAAGCGAGTCTACGTGATCGGCAACGATGTTGAGATAAGCTATGCTATTCAGAGATGTGTCCCAAATATCAAAGAACTCAGTGTATTTCAAGAAAACATTTCCCAGGCCATAATTCCACTTCCACCAGTCTGAAGAGTTGTCATTTGGTAGGAGGGGGACCATGAATTCGTGTTGTTTGCGCCATATTCTGATTGTGCCATATGCATGATGGGGCAGGAAACGAGATTCATCGGACCAGGCTACTTTTTTTAATTTTCAAGTGACCAATTACGTCGTTCCTGAACTCATAACAGGCGCTTTTTTCTATTTTTTTGTGATACCAAAGACACACTTGATGCTAAAGCCCGTCCTTTGCAAAGTCCGTCTTGTTGTGCATTGCGATATGCTTTGTGATGCACCTACATTGAATTCAACTGTACTTTGTCGTGTTGTTGCCCTTCAGTTGCTGCAGACTATGTGTGTTAATCACCTTTTACCTCTCTCGTTCACCAGCCTTTTTCAACCAGAATTGTCCTTATTGCTTGAAGTTCTTTTTTTCTCAACTGCCACTCTCTAAACACCTGAGATACTGTTGGGTGAGAAAATCCTGAAAGAGTCAACGTTTCAGAGATGCTGGCACGAGCTCTTCTCGCACCGACGATCACCACTCGTTGAAAGTGACTTAAATCTTTCGTCTTACCCATTTTGACATAAACTTCCGTGATAATTACATCGTCAAAAGCTGAGAGTTTCTTATATAAGAAACTCTGCACGATTACTTCACACTATGTCACTATTAAACAAGTTTAATTTGAAATAAGTGATGTCTCTAATTTTTTGCCACTCAGTATATATTATAAGTAATTATTAGTGGTTGACATGTATTGTTTGTATATTGTTTAGCCAGTCAACAATGAATTCTTCACTCCGGACGAAAATTTCAACAACAATGAAATGAACATCCAAAGTAAGTAACATGTTACTTAATTCAAATTAGTAATATTTACATGGCATTTTAAGAACTGCATTCAATTTTCAACAGTCATACATATAACTGGGATGAAATATTTGAGAATTATAAGTAACTATTTACATTGTATTCATACAGCTTTTAAAGTTAATAAAAATCTGTTGCGATGAGCAGAATTATTAAATCACAACTCATGAAGAATCTCTCGACTGTTTCTCTCTACTTAAAATCCATAAAGTTTTGCTGTAATACTTTTCGTTACCTCTCTAAAAGCACACAATTTATTCCACGCTTCTATGATAACCAGTGGAACAAACTACTTAAATAATATAAATAAAAACAGATAAAATGAAATAATTTATTTTTTCCTGCTCATTTAAAAGTCCGAAAAAGAAACTAAAGCTCAATCAATCAATTGTTCATTGTAAAATGCTTTATTTTTAGGTCAAACGACAAATAATGCTTTGCTTTTAAATGAAAAACATAAGTACACTTTACCAACTATATAAATACAGCACTAATATTTTAACATTGAAACTATGTTATGTTTACTCAAATATTATAAGTAATTTATTATGTTACTTTTTAATATTTCAGTTAAGGAGGAAGAGCAGATTCAAGAATACGATATTCCACACAACTCCGAAAGAGAAAAACGTTTTAAATATAATATTAAAAGAAACAAATACGTTCCTTCCAGTAGGAAATGCAATAAAATTCATGATAAGATTAAAATGAAATACTTCAAGGTTATGTTTGCATCTCATTCTAAACAAGAATTTACGTGTGATTTATGTAAAAAGACTTTTACAAATAAGAGAATATTAGAAACACATCTGCTCTGCCATATTAGAAAGAAACCATTTTGCTGCACAACCTGCAATAAGAAGTTTTTGTGGCAATTTCTTTTGCGAAGACACATGAAAAAACACAAAATTGGAAATAAAAACGAAATCTCTCATAGGAATTTACGTTTGCAGCCATCTGAAGATCGAGTGAAGTCATCTCTAAGAAATGATAAAAAATCTAATATCCAGCGGGAAAACGTGTACTGCGACATTTGTGGTAAGCACGTTCCATATGGTAAGGGCCGTTTAGAAATACACAAGAGAACACACAGAACTCATGCCTGCGAAATATGTGGAAAAGAATTTAAGCGTAAAGGTATTTTGTTACGTCATAAACCAATGCATAGTACAGACCGTCCTTTTAAATGTCATATTTGCGATAAGAGTTTTAAATCGATATACCAAGCGAAAGACCATCAAAAAATTCATAGTGAAGAACGACCTTTCAAATGCGATATTTGTAATAAGGGTTATAAATGGAAAGGACAACTAAAAGAACATTACGAAACTCATAATGATGAACGTAATTATTCTTGTCAAGTATGTAACAAACGTTTTAAAACAAAAAACACTTTAACATGTCATAAATTAGTTCATAATAATCAATTTAACCATACTTGTGATGTATGCAACAAATGTTTTAAATCAAAATCTAATTTGCGACGGCATAAACTTGTTCATAGTAAAAAATATATCAAACGAGAAAATGTGTATTGCGACATCTGTGGTAAGCGCGTTCCATACGGTAAGGGCAGTTTAGAAAGACACAAGAGAATACACAAAGTACATGCCTGCGAGATATGTGGAAAAGAATTCAAGTTGAAAAAGTTGTTGTTATTTCATAAACCAACGCATAGTGAAGAACGACCTTTTAAATGCGATATTTGTAATAAGGGTTTTAAGTGGAGAGGCTTATTAAAAAGGCATCAAAAAGCTCACAGTGAGGACCGTCCTTTCAAATGCGATATTTGTAATAAGGGTTATAAATTTAAAGTGCAACTAAAACTCCATCGCGAAACTCATACTGATGAACGTAACTATACTTGCCAGGTATGTAACAAAAGTTTTAAAACAAAACAGTATTTGGCAGGACATAAAATAGTTCATAATGATAAATTTAACCATACTTGTCACATATGTAACAAAAGTTTTAAACGAAGAAGTCATTTAAAACAGCATATTAATGTACACACTGATTAATAAAAATATTTTTTTCATATATGTGTAAAATATTTTAAGACAACTGGTTTGAAACAGCACAATATTATTCATAACGATAGAAAAAAGTATGTGTGACATATGTCAAAAAAGCTATACCAATCCAACTGCCTTAGCCAGACATTGTATTATTAAACATGAAAAGATGTATGTATGCAATATTTGTAACAACCGTTTAAGATTAAAAACACATAGAAGAACATTCGAAAGTTCACATCTAAAAGTGTAATTAATATGTGTAATAAAGAATTTAAAAGTAAATGCAACGTAGTCAGTAGAAATTTCATTTGAACATAAAACCGTTTTGTTGTCAGAAGTGTAATGAACATAAACAATGAAGACAATCTTCGTTACGTTTGTGAAGTATGTATCTTTTATATTAAAAGTTTTTATTAAGCCATCAACTCGTTCATCAGAATCATTTGTATTTTAGGGGCCATTGTAGAAGCGAATTTATAAGAGAAACTAAACTGAAATTACGTTTAAATTTCCCTTGTTTTGAAATACATCCCTCAATGTAATATATGTGAACAGATTTTTACGTTTGGGGAGGTTTTAGAGAAGCAGATGGCTATTTTTAATAATCAGATTAATTTCTATTGTGATATTTGTAAAAAGAAATTTACAACAAAAGTCGAATTCCAAACTCATCAAATGTCTGTTTATTTGACAGAAGGAAGACATAAATACAAAATATTCAAGAAGACATTTAGAAAACAGATTGTATTAAATACAGTATTAAAATAAATATATTCATGTACACAATTGTTATTTCTTTATTTTTTATATTCAGTTACAATTATCTGTAATTAGGAATAATATAAATGTAAAAGAACATTCGCGACGTCAGGTAGACACAACGCTATAACAATTCGATGACGGTGACCTGTAACCGAGTTTGGCACAGTTGTGCATTGTAATTGGTTTAAATTTCTTACGTGACTTTAAAATGGTTAATTTTTTTGGTATTATCGGCAGTGTGTTTATTTTGATAATGCTCCATGCGGGGCCAAGAATGTAACATGCGGGAACAGTACATAATAAATAAAAATAAATGAATGAATGGTATTATCGGCAGTGTATGCTGAAATTTTATCTTTATCTAAACCTGAAATCTGAAGTGATATTGTCTGGCGATTGGTTGCTATCACTGTAAAAATGAAGTACAACATGCTGAACACCTTTAAAGTGAAAGTACCTCAGAATTATTGCGAAACACTTTGTAGCACCTTTGGTGGAAGCATCAGTTACTATTGAAAACATTTTCTCATTTACAATTTTCTACAAAAATCAACTTTATCCTCAAAATCAATCCTTTTTATTTTATAATAGTTAAATATATTCGCCACCCACAAAGGATGGTAGTGCCAGCTTCTCTATGCTAATCAGTCCAACTTCCGTCACATGAAGGTAAAGGTCTTGCTTTGACAGTTGTAATTATGCTTTAAAAAGAGGTCACTTTCAGACAGGGCAGTTCCCTTAAGTCTCCCTCGTAATAATTGTTGACTGTGTAGAAGAGAGACAGTGTAGCCGCCAAAATTCTTAAACCTTCGACTCACAAAGGAAAAAAAAATAATTCGAAGACGAAGAGAAATATCCTATTTACAAAATAATTGTGAAAAAATTAAAAGGTATATTATATTTTAAGTTATTGTGCAAACTCTTTCTCTCTCTCTGTCCCCATTCGAAAGAGAAATTCGACTGTAGGATAAACCAGCAATGAGTTGCGCAAATTTCTACGTTTACATTACTTTTTCCAAAATTTTAAAATGAAGTTTCTGTACTAAAATTCATGACTACGAGGGAAAATGTTCGATTTTAGAAGTAAAAGAAGTGAGACGAACTCGAAAGGATTTGTCATATTTACATATAAAAACTGTCAAACAGACATTAGTGAAACCGTTGTCTCCAGGACCCTTTATTATATCATTAGATTTAAATTTATTTAATTTTCTTTACTACTTATTGGTTATCATTTGCAGCAGTTGCCTGACTTTAACTGTAATATTAACTGGGCTGAAATTTTTCACTTTTAGACCTGTAGATTCCCGCTATACACAGTCTACGCGTCAGATAACAGTTATGTAGGTGAAAATCGAAAACTTTTCTGACAGAGGACCGATTAAACGTAGTCACGTTAAGTTTAAATTTAAATATGATTAAAAATTGCAGTCAATATTGAACTATGAATAATTATAAATAATACAATTGAGTCGATTGTCCTATTGGGATCGTTAAAACAGTGGGTTATATGTTCATGGGACCACGGGAATTTGAACTAGGGGGCCCACGTCGAATGTTGACTTCAGACATTTTCGTTAGTGAACTGAAAGGGGGAGGAGTTGACCTTTAGTGTAACTTTACTTATTTTATTAAATTTTATA